GGCAGGAGACTCTCTGGCACGGGAAGACACAAGGACCTGGAGAGAGCATCCTTCAGACACTCCCTCCCTCGTCCCAGCAGGCCAAGCCATGTTAGCAGTCAGGATAGGCTGAATGTTTACTTGGGTTGCTCATCTTCCAGCTCCCCAAACCCTGCCACGGCAGATCTCAGCCTCTCCACCAGGCTGGGAGAGGCCAGAGGGTGAGAGCGAAGAATACCAAGAGCCTGGTACGTTACACAGCTCTGGCGAACAGTAGTGACCTTGGCAGTAGCCTGGCCTGCCCATCTGCGCAACTGGCAGGGATCTCTTCCCTGAAATCTGGATTTGAGAAGCTTCCCAGTTCACAACCCATTTGACCATCACCTAGACAGCAAGGAAGGAGGCAGAGCCAAGGGCAAACCCTGCTCCAGCCAAACCAGCTGGTCCTTTCAGAGGCTCCAGCGTGGCGCAGAGCTCAGCACGCTGGGACAAGTGCCTCCTGCCAGAGGTGACGCTGGACCTGGCACCTGGCACCCCTGCCAAGCCACTCAGATCCCAACCCAGCCAGGCCCTGCACAGGTCCCAGCTGTGCAGCACCCTACCTGTCAGTTCAAGGCCAGACCCATAAAGCTGGACTCGCAAGAGATCGCCGAGGCACCTGTGGGTGGGAGGACAGAGGAGCTTCGGTACCACCCCCGAGTTGGGAAATCAGCCGGACATTGTCAGGCCGGGCCCCCTGCCACGCTGTGCCCTGCTGTGGCACCCACCAGCCATTGCTGCTGGCTGGGCAGGGCCCTTCTCCCAATCATTCACCTGGGCCCACGCCCGGCCATGGTGCAGGTAGCCAGCTGCTCTCCAGGCCAGGCAGCACAGACTCTCCTTCTTCTGGGACAGGAGTCCACCCACCAGCTCTGCCCCTGGCGATGGGGACTCTGGCTGCTCCAGCCTATCCTCTACTCGCAACATCCGTGGGATAAGGTCAGTTGTCCGGCTGATGACCTCCTCGCACATGGTTATGGCATCCTGGTGCCTCCCGGCCTGCTCCAAGGCAGATGCTGCTTCCAGGAACACCTCGGGGATCCTGGGCAGAGCTGAGCCACCATCTAGGGGCACCTGAGGAGCAAGAGCGGTGGCAGTGCTCAGACGCAGAACTGCTGGGCACCTCGCCAAACAGAATGATCCTGTGCTTACTGGGAACCCGGAGCTGCTGCCCAGCAAAGCTCAGACCCACTCCCACAGACACGGGAGCCTGTCAGAGGAGGCAGAAGCCATGAAGCACTAACAGCTCAGCAGAGTCAAGGTGGCAAGTCCCTATTCTTGAAGTGAAGGACATCCAAAACCAGGCCAACAGCTGCTCCCCTCAGAGAAGGGAAAGCTGTTTCTCCAAATAGCAGTGGGGAGTGGTCTCTGGTGTGAATCCAAAGGCAGACATGCCACAGGTCAGAGGTGCCAGCCCCCAGCTTGTTTCCTTCACATTTCAAACTAGACACCAAAACCTGGAGTCCAGGGGTGACTCCCAGGCTGAGGCCTCAGCACAGGCACGCAAACCTTATCTACTGAGTCATCAAGGGAGCTCTTCACCAAGACACCCACCTGCTGCTGCAGCCCCTCCTGAAGCAGAGCCAGAAAATCCAAGTAATGTTCCACTGCATCAGCCACCCTGCAAGAGTAACAGGACACATGACGGGAGGAGCAGAGGGACCCCAAGAAGTGCCAGCAGCCAGGTGGAACCTGGACTGCCAGCTCACAGGCTCTTCCTCTGCACCACACTTGCTCTGGTCACGATACTCGAGATTTGAGCAGACCTACAACAGCAATACCGAACTGTATGACTTCCAGGAGTACAGAGAAAACAGCAGAGCCCAAACAAGCAGCGTGTTGCAAGCAGCCCAGAGGCACTGTTACCTCCCGTCCTGGAGACACCGCTGTGCCAGCAGATACTTCACTTCAGAGGAGTGGCGATGGCGGAGAAGAGAAGCTAGTATTGGCGTGCGGACAAGGAGCTCTGTTCGGATTAGGAAATATGGACTAGAGGAAGCAGCTGCTGGAGGGGCTTTTTCCAGAGCCTGTGAAAAAGGAACAGAAAATATGGTCAACACAATGGTGCTCAAGTCCTGAGCAGCTGCAATCACTTGCCACTTCTGGCATGTGGCAATGGAGCCAGACAAGCAGAAGCACTGCACTTCACAAGCACAGCTCCACTGTTCTCACGCAGTACAGCACAGCCGCTTCCAGGAAGAGCAACGAGGATCACACAGGGACAGTGTGTCCCTCTCAGGTTTTCAGTTCAAGGTGCTCTGAGCTGCCTGGAACACCATCTCCCATTGCAGCTGCAGACCTAGTTAGACCAGATCTTAGGCCATTTGTAATGAGAGAGACCCCTCTCCAGAGTTGTGTTTGTATCTTACAGATTTCAAACAGCTGAAGAGCTAACTGTGTCTACTGTTTTGACCTGCTCCTGCCAAGGTTGCTACAGCTAATGCACAACCCCCCACCAGCCACAATCTGCCTTTTAAAGACATCTTTACTATTAGAGACTTTAAGAGACTGAGAATGTATTAAGAGACTTTCTGACATGAGAGTGTAACCTCTTCTCCCAAGCCACCAAGACCCAAAGGTCCTGACACATCCAACAGCCAGATGCTGAGCAGGAATTTCAGATCTCGCTGGGCTCCTTCCTGCCCGCTGCTGAAGGCAGCGCCACAGCTGGATTGCTGTAGTCTACTTTGGGGATCCCCTGTAAGGTCAAACAGCCCCCCAGAAGGCAGAAGCCTGCTTGAAGCTCTGTGCAGGCTCTGCTGGGCAAAAATCAACCTGGAACTACTGTAAGCAGACAAACCTCGTAGAGCAGAGCCAGGGCCTGCAGCTCCGCCTCGGTCTCCCCCAGCTCGTGGTACACTGCTGCCGCATGGGACAGGGCAGGAAGGCACTGGAAGTCTACCTGGAGGGCGCGTTTCAGGTGCTGAAGGGCTGTCTGAGGCTTGCCCTACTTGGGTGGAAAGATGTGCATGTTGCAAGGACATTTTGACTGGTGGGATCCAGATCCCTGCTCTGTTTCCCAATGACCCCCACTAAGCAAATGCTGCAGCACTTTAGCCAAAGGCAGCCCTCTTCAGGCTGGTTTTTGAGCTTCTCTCTCTGCAGCAACCCTTTGTGCTCAGACAAATCCCTGCCTGGATTTTGCAGCTCTCCAAGGAGGCTGGGGTGAACAAGGGCAACTACTGCTCAAGACCTCACCTACTTGCAGCAGCCTAGGACCACACAGAGGCAGCATGGACACCAGCCTGGGCCTCCCCAACCCGCTCTAGGCTGTGTTTTGCCTCTCCCCACTGACAGAGAAGAGGCCTGGCCATTACCATTTGCTGAGCACAGCAGGCGAGGCAGGTGTAGATCTGGGCCAGGACCTTCTTGGAGCAGAATCCTCCCGCAGCCTCCTGAAGGAGGGAGAGAGCGGTGGGGAAGTTCCCAGCCTCCAGCTCCTGCAGCCCTAGGACAGACCCAGTGTCTCAGCTCTGTGGTTCCCCTTCCTGCCCCACCTGGTCCCCAAACAAGCATATGTGCCCTTTTCTTCCCAGTGCCATAGGGACCTGCCTGATCCCCTCTGCACCCAGCAATGCACAGCCGGATGGCACCAAGCTGCCACCTTTGTTTTGATGTTGTTGCAAGAGAACAAGCCACTCGATGGAAACTTGCAGCAGAAATGATAGCAGCTTCCAAGCCCACATACCAAGACGCCCACCTTGGCCCAGAACAAGAGCAGAGGTAGGTGCTGGGCAGGTCCACCTGCGTGTTCATCCACAGGGACAACAGCACAGACGCGGAAGCACACACTTCAGAATCTCAGAAGGACTTTTTCCAGCACATCTGGGCTATTTCCCAGCAGGATGCTTTGGGATGTCAATTCATGAATATTTATGGCTAATGGTATTGGCTTTTCTCTCAGTCCTCATTTCAAGCTCCCCTCTGAGGCTGCTGTCACATGCCTGCATCACATTCTCATCTGCCACCTCCCCACTGGAAGTGTTATCACTAGCCTAGAGGCTTTTGAGAGGTCTGTGGGCAGGAGCTCCTGCCCTCCCTCCTTGCTGGAACAGCAAGGCAGCACTGACTGCCCCCGGAGTTGCTGGGGTTGTCAAAACAGTGAGCAAGGGAAAACCACGAGTGGGACAGAATGCAGCAGTCAGATGAGATCAATCACCTGCTGTGACACCAGGCTACAAAGCCGCACAACAGCTTTGCGTGGCTCCCGCAGCACCGTAATCCGACAGGAACAATGTTCTTGCAACAAGGCAAGTGCCAGAAGACAGGCAGAAGAAAGGAAAATACTCATAAGCCCCCTGCCATCCTTCCGCTTTATATAAGATCACTGCAGGGCCCAGACACCTACCTAAAGCCACAGACAGGCAGAGGAACCCTGTGACAGTGGGGAGAACAGCTTAGCTGGGGAAAAAGCAGAGAAGCTCTTTGGATACAGAACAGCAAAGCTGAGATCCAGAGGCTCAGCCCAGGTCCTTTTCCAAAGGAAAAGCCCAGAAAACCCCAAGGGCTGGTTTGCTTGGGAAGAGAAACCAGAGTAAGGGCAGGGAGAGGGGTCCCTGGGATGGGAGAGCAGCAGGAGGCTGTGCTGGTATGAGTACCTCCTCCACACAAACCTTGCAGGAAGGCTGCTGCAGTGTAGAGGATCTCTTTCAAGTCCTCGGTGCTCTGTACTAGGGGCAGGGAAGTCCCCTCAGCAGGTGCTCGCCATGCCTTGAGCAGGGAGAGGAGCTCGTTCTCCCCCTCGCTGCAGCAAGCGCTCCCCCGGTCCTGTGAATACACAGAGAGAGAGCAGGGAATGCTGATGGTAAGCAGGAAACCCTGATCCCAGGACACAGGGAAACAGAGGTCTCACCAAACCCTTCAACAGCACTCTCTATGCTGGGGAGCAGTGTCCTACCACCCCCTCACTTCAACTGCAACCCACTTGCTGCAGTGATTCCTGCCTGGTCCAGGACAGCACCTCCCCACCCCAGGGCAAGGTGCACCTTGAGGGGCTCCTGGCAAGGCCAAGTCCTGTTGGAGGGCATTCAAAAAGGCGGGACCCCTCTGCAGCCTCA